TTTGTTTTTTTGGTTTTTGTTTTTTTTTGTTTTTTTTTTTTTTTTTTTTTTTTTTTTTTTTTTTTTTTTTTTTTTGCCTTGCTATTTATTTGTTGAGGTAACAACATTTCCTGTAGAGTTTTTCCTGTTTTGGATTTGGCTGTTTGCATCCTGATGTGTTTGTTATTTAACATGTTTGTCTTTATCCCCCTCTCCTCCTCCTCTCATCTTTCTTACAAATTTGTAGTTAGATTTAGAGACTTGATCACATTCAGGCTTTTTTTTTCTGTGTGGCCTACATCCATTTTCATTAGGGGTCACAAAATGGTCGCATTCTAATTCTATTACTCCTTTTGTGCTTATGAGCTGGAATTCTTCTATAAAGAAGAAATGTCCCTCATCAACTATTTGATGCCTCAAAATACAGTTCATGCAGGAAAAACAGAATAACATTTTGATTCTTTGCTTTTGTTATAAATGGGTCCTTGAATTATATTGTTTTGCTTAATGTTGTTTCATATACAGTGTGGATGAGATTCTGTAGGAACTTAATGCTTGTTTATATCAATTAATGTATGGTAAAAATGATTTTGTTATATATCATTTCAAGAACCTATTGATGTTAAGTGAGGACTTAATGTACTTTTTAAAGACCTTTTGTTTACTTAAATTTTTTGTGTTATAGTTACCCATTGTTAACAAATTATGAAGTGGGTCTGTTTTGGACCTTGTATTAGAAATAATGGAAAGGGCTGGTTAGGAGATATCTGATATAATCCACAATACATGATGTAAATCAAAAAAAGTATATTACATGTATTTTACACATATATTACATGTATATGATATGTGAAACTGCATATACACAGACTCCCCACCAAGGTTCAAAACTTGCTGAACGTTTATTAGCAAAGTTATCAGATGTACTTACGGGTGAATATATTCCTGTATTAATTTAGGGAAAATACATTTTATTTATTTATATTTTTTTGTAGCTTTTGGACTTCTTGGATCAGCATCCTTTTTCATTTACTCCTCTAATTCAGAGATCACTGGAATTTTCTGTAAGCTATGTATTTACAGAAGTTGGTGAAGGGGTTACATTTGAACGATTCATTGTCCAATGCATGAATCTTATTAAGATGATTGTCAAAAATTATGCCTATAAGCCATCCAAAAATTTTGAAGGTAATGCTTTTACTGGTAGTTTTATTTTTTAACTTTTTCTATGTTAATTGAAGTGTGAAGTAATTGCTATTTTCATGTAATTTTTTTTTTTGAAATTCATTTATTTAAGTCTGAAAAATAAAATGTTGCTGGGACATAAACTAGAGATAAGGGTTCAAGTCTTATTATGTGAATGCCAGCTTTTAAAAACCATACAATGCATTTAGCAAACTGTCTTATGTAGCACAATAGAAGATCAGTTGAAGCCTGGGGACTTTAAGATTAAAGTACTACAATAATCACTGCAGCTCATGTTGTAGGCTGTATTTATTTGTATGATTAAAATTTTTCTCTGACTATATAAAGTGGGGTTGCTTCCAGACAGGTTAAATTGTTGTATTATTTGGGATTCATTTGTGTGCATATGTACCAAGATGAATGAGAAATTCTTGTAGGAGAGAGAAAGACATATATAAGTAAGTCACTTCAGTTTAGATTGATAATATGGCATGATAATGTACAAGCTATAGTGGTAGGAAAGAAGCAAGACTAATGTGTGTGTGGTATGAATAAAAGAAAAGTCTTTGAGGTTTGTCCATAACAAAAATGAACATTTATACACCACTGTATCTTTTCTTCCAAAAGTATATTTTTAAATTTATTTGTTCTTCATAATCCAACTTGGGTGTAGAACGTACAATTAACTTGAAAATTTTATTTTTCTAGATAGCAGCCCTGAAACCCTTGAAGCTCATAAGATTAAGATGGCCTTCTTCACATATCCCACTTTGACAGAGATATGTAGAAGATTAGTCTCTCATTATTTTCTGTTAACTGAAGAAGAACTGACAATGTGGGAAGAAGACCCCGAAGGCTTTAGTAAGAATCAGTTTTTCAGTTTTCACATGGCTTTTCTCCTCCTTTCATAAATAGATATCATCTATTTGAATGATAGTTATAATAACACATTGTATTTTAACATGGCACTTTTGATGTGAGAATACTGGTTTTTAAAAATTAACTTATCCTCTCTTGCTAGCCATTAGAAAATATTGAGGAGCAGAAGATGAGTGACCTTTTCAAATATATAGAATTTTCTCTAGAAAGGGACCTTTTTAATTTTTAGTAATTATAGATATATTATGTAGTTTAAAACAAAAATATAAAATTAACTGCCAGTCTTTTATCATGTTAGTTTCTACTTTGTGATTCATTGCATAATATTTTTAATTTGTAGAAATTTTTCCTCAGAAAGGTATTCTGGAGATGAAAATTTCTGAATTGCTGATTCGGTTACCTATTTAAATTTTTAATTTAAAATACATTTTTTGGTAGTTAAAATGTTTTTAACAAATCTTTTTACCTTTTTGAATTTTATTAGTCGATAAGGCGAATACATCTATCTGGGCCCTTGCTACAGAAAGTCAAGGAATCGTGTGCCTCATGAAGAAGTAACTCTGTGTGAATAAAGTGCCTTTGTGTGAATTACTTTGGTTATGGTTGGGCATAGGCTAGATTTTAGAGCCTCTACTTATCTCTCTCGCTGGGTGCCTTTTCGTAATTATAGACATATGTTTCCTAATATTTTAAGAATGTCCGAAGCATTCTGGAAGACTTTTCTTCCTTTTGTCATTTGAAAATAATTTAGTTCATAAAAAAATACAATAGTACACTCTACAGTACATTTTTTTTGTTTTTGTCTGTTAGCTAAAATCTTGTTTCTTATTGCTTCCTTTTTGCAGAATATGTAATATTGTAACTGAAATATTGAATCCCCAGATTTTTAAAAGTCCTTATAGTGTTTTATTTTAAATGTGGGAAATTTATGGAAAATGTAACTAATCATTTTGTGAAACATGATTATTGTATTGAAATGAAATGTTTCTCAGGATTGTAGAGATAGTGTGTGATCAGGTGATATCAGATACTCTGGAAGAGACAAATACTTTGAGCTTTCTCCATACATAATTTTTAATGAAAGCGAGTGCTTATGGATGAAAGCACTTGATAGGTGACTGTGACATATACAGGTATGATTTATAGTAATTTAGTAGTAGTTTATAGTAATCTATATAAAACCTTGTGTTTCCAAGGATTTGTGTTTAGTGTTCCTTTTAAAACAATTCACAGAAATATTAAACTAATATTTAAAATTTTTGTTTTTCATACTGAGATTTTGGAAACTATTATTTCTGGAGAGCATTATTTGTCATATTTTTAATTGTAGCAGTGGAAGAAACAGGAGGAGATTCTTGGAAATACAGTTTGAGGGTAAGTATTGATGAAAGAAAAAATGATAGGGAAAAGCTTAATGTTTTGATAACTCTTAGTAGAGAATGATACTCTCCCGAAGATTCCAAGTATTAAGTCAGATAGATAGGAAACTATAATTACTATAATCTATATTTGAGAGGAAAGTACTTAATAAAATATGAACTTTAATCTGAAAAACATTTTTTCATTAAGTTGGGGATTTACAAATTAGACTTTTCTTCATTTTGTAGTCATTTTGATTGGGAAGTAATTGCTGTTGTAGAAATAAGAAATAAGTTCTTGAAAGTGAACATTAGCTCTTTTCAACTAGAATGATTTTTATTTCCTTTGAAGTATTTCAGTAATTATAAAGCTTCTGTTGATAACATTATTTCTTGTAACCACTTAGTATGATTCTGAGACCAGCTCATTGCTTTTAGTTATAGAATTATTTTTAAATGTACATTTATTGATATGGCCAACCTTTAAGGAAGATTTATCAAATGCAGTCTTTGAGCTATTCTTATTGTGAAGACATGTGTTTACATAATTTACCATTGTTTTTCTAAAAATATGTTTTGCTGTTTTGAGTTTCATAAGCTTATGTAGAAAACCAGAGACATTGTAAATCAGAGAAATTATTAGTTCTTTAAAATTTTTTTAAAATTTGCTTTACAAAAAGAATATAATACCTAGGAATACATTTAACGAAATATGTGAAGGACTTATATAATGAAACTACAAGACTCTATTAAAAGAAATCGAAGCAAATACAAAGAAGGGAAAGATATTCTGTGTTCTTGGATTGGAAGAATCAACATAGTTAAAATGACCATATTACCTAAAGCATTATACAGATTTAATACAATCCCTATCAAAATTTCATCGGCATTTTTTAAAGAAATAGAACAAAAAATCATCAGATTCATATGGAAGCACAAAAGGCTCCGAATTGCCAAAGCCATCCTGAGAAAAAAGAACGAGGCTGGAGGCATTACTCTGCCCGACTTCAAATTATATCACAAAGCGACAGTAATCAAAACGGCATGGTATTGGCAACAAAACAGACACATGGACC